AAAAAAAAAAAAAAAAATCCAAAAAATTAAACAAATTGTGGTTCGAATTAAGAGTTTAGCTCAAACAAAAACCCTTTTGGCTATGGATAGCCTCAGGTTTTGCTAAATGTGCAAAAGGGCAAATTTTTTGTCTCCGACAGAATCGAAGTGTGTGGTTCAGAGCAATTTTGTGTTCTCATTTGGGAGTGTGTTTATTTTACATACATTAAAAGCTTGCATCAAACTTTTTTTTGGCTATATTATAGTCCCGTTACCGAACCATTTTGTAGGGTTTGTAACTGTTAGATCAACTATCCACGACGATTATCTGATGATTTAACGGTTACAAATCCCGACGGAATAGTTCCGTAACGGGACGTTTCCAACTTTTTTTTTTGGCATTGATTGTTTTATTTATTAATGTGTAGTTTTTTGTGCTAGTGCTAGGTTTTGTTATGGAGTCATCGAATGGCTCGGGTTATGAAGTCATCTATAATTATCCATAAATGGTGTATTGGCATGTGTCTGCAATAAATACATAAAATTATGGATGACTCCATAAAGGACAATCCGATGCCTCGGTAACATTTCTGTAGTAACGCTGTTTATTCTTTTATGCTTTAATCTTGATATATTAGTCACAAAATTACATGCAATTTATAATTTGCTGTGTTCTCAGCAGATCAAAGTTGAGTAAATAAGAGACTATCATTGCTAACTTCTGATAATTAATGTAAACATAAGGACATTCTACAGTCCCGTTGCGGCACTGTAGATCAACTATGCACGACGGTTACATGACGATTTAATGATTACAAATCGCAACGGAATGGTTCCGTAACGGGACTGTAGCATTTCTTGTAAACAATCTAAAACAATAAACCAATAACATCAAATTTAGGCTGTATAAATATGCTACATTTTCAAATCTCCCTTCAGATAATCTGACATAAAATCAGTCAACATTCTTCAAGAAAATGCACATACTCATACACTCAAACACATACTTAAACTGCATCAACTATTTGAAAATAAATCTTGACTCAAGATTACACCACTTCAAACAATTCCAAATGACAAAAAAAAAACCACAATCATCAGTTTCTGATGACTCAAAATCATTCAGAAAAAAAAATAAAAAAAAATGTCTAATTAATTCTCCTACAAAGCATAGAAGAATGAAACAAAGTACCTAACCCTCAAAACAAAAACCAAACAAAACTCAGATTTTTTTTTTTCCTTACTCATAATAACTTCCTCTACTACCATAACTCATCTGGCACCAAGCATCAAAACCCTCCTGCCCGAACCCGTTCGCCTGCATCTCGACCGGCTGTGATGGCAGGGCCGGCAACAAAAAAGGCCCCACCTTCCCCGGCCCGTAAAAAGACGGCCCGTTATCTTCAAACAACGCCTTACTCTCCACATTCGGATACTGAACAAGCCCAAGCCCAAGCCCGTTCGCTTGCCCAAGCCCAAACTCTTGGAACTGATTCGGGCCGGTGTAATAGCAGCCAAAGTCGATAAGGCCCTGTTTGGCTCCTCTCATGCACTCGATCCTCGACCGAACATCTTCTGCCTTGCGGGACAAGGCAGCCGCAAAATCCCGAAGGCCCGACTCTGGCATGTAGTCCATGAAATCAAGCCACGTGGGGTATCGAGCCTCCATATTCTTTTTCCTCTGCTTCGCCAGCTCGTCCTCGACTTTTTTGAGCCGGTCGAGCCAAAAATCGGGCAGGCCATAAGTCTTGGAGGATGAAGAAGAGTCATTGTTCTTGGCCCGATAAGACTGGATTATGCGGTGGGCCCGGTCACGGTCGGTGGGCCATACGTCGGGCTCGGATAAGCCCGTTTCGTTTTTCGGGCCGTAGATGATGATGCAAGCGCTGACGTCGCAGAGGATGGTGAGCTCGTCGAGCTTTCGGATTAGGCCCTTCTTGCGCTTGGCGAAGGTTGTGTTTCGGGTTTTTTCTTTGGTTATGAACTCCATGTTCAGCTTGGCCCGGCCCATTATCCTGTTTCTTCTTTGTTTTTTCCTTCAATAAATTATTGCAAAAAGAAAAAAAAGGATAAATTCGAGATTATGAACACATTGGTTTCTCACTAAATTATTGCAAGAAGCTATTACTATTAATACTGATCCAACATTATGAACACGTTGGTTTTTTCAAGAACATTTAAAACAGACCATTAAATTCGAATTCAAATCAATGATTTTTTTTATTTTATTTTTTTAAACACTTTGATTAATGATTGAAAAATTGAATCTTGATATCAAACAGAGTGGAATTTATTATGTGTTAGATGTGATAAAGTGAAGAATCTATCAATTAATACTGATCCAAGATTATGAACACATCGGTTTTTCAAGAACATTTAAAACAGAGCATTAAATTCGAATTCAAATCAATGATTTCTTATTTTTATTTTAAGGTTTTTAAACACTTTGATTAATGAATAATGAACATCAGGGAGAGTTAAAAATTGAATCTTGATTACGAACAACACGTTATTAATTCAGAATTTGATCAATGGTTTTGAAGAAAACAAAAAAAAATAAAAAAAAAATGGGAATGTTAATTAAACGAAACCCATTTAATTTCGAATTAAAAAAAAAAAAAAAAGAGATAAAGAGAGAAATTAATGAGGTACCTTTGAGAGTTCTTGACGAAGAGATTGTTTATGGGTTTTTGCCCAAAAAACTTGTAATGGATTATGTAAAATATGGTAAAGCAGTGTGTGTATATATAGCATATGGTGATAATATATATATATATATATATATTTTTATATAAATTATATAATTTAAGGTAAAAGGATTGGAGAACTGATAATTAATTTTGTGAAAGATTCTTTTTTATGATTTTGCATTTAATGAGTTACCATAATTTGTGCTGTTTTTTCATGGAAATTCTTGATTTTCCACGTGTATATTTGATATGATAACGTCTCTTTTTTCGAAATAAAAATTAAGAAAAAAGAACAAAAAGAAAGTTGGAATTTTTTTTGTAGCCATCCACGGTATCCGAAGCTATTCCCCGACTAATCTGTTGGTCGACCCGGGTCGCATACCTGGCAGTGCTGGGGGAGTCTCCCAATAAGAGTTTTTTACATCCACAATAACTCGAACCCGAGATTTTGCTTAAGAGACATTAAGCTGCTTACTACTTGAGCCAACCTATGTTGGTAGAAAGTTGGAATTTTAATCCAATGTGATATTTTGGAATTTTTTTTTTTTTTTTTTATTGCAACCCCTAAAATCAGTGAAAATTATTTTTTAATAAATCAAATCTATTTGACCCTAAATTCCTTGTTATTAAATTTTTTTCCATTTTTAAAATTATATTTTGGGTCGGATTCCAAAGATTTGATCTGGGCCATTTTCCATTTTTATTAAAAATTTTAAGCAATCTCATCAAATTATATTGGATGAACAATCAATCTTGTTACAATGAATATGAAATACAACAGAAATGCAGAATATGATGAAATTTCACATTTTTTGTCCCCTAACAACGAGCTAGTTCATTAGATAGCAAGAACCGAAAGGCGAAATTGTATGGAATCCAGTCGACTTTCTTCTAGAACTTTCTGGAAAGTCGAACATCAGTCTAGTCGTGCATCTAATGCTCGACTATTTGAGCTATGCCCAATCGACCCAATCCACCAATCTCCTTAACAAAATGCTCGACTTTCTTTGGCACGATCAATCTTTTGTGTTCTTTATACAACTTTACGTCCATTCGAATGTAATCTTCTTTAGCCATCTATAGCTCTTGGAACACTTTCGTAGGCGTATATGTACGAACCTACACGAAATTCGAAAACGGTAAATCAATTAAAAAATGCCCTTGAAGTTTCGTAAAACAATATTTGTGAAAGAAATCAACAAAACTTATTGAGAATCAAACATTCTCCTAATATCAGGGCTGCGGCAAAGAAAACATCTGGCTTTCGCGGATAGGATCGACGCACACACCAATACCAACTATCAGGGAAAGGACCGACGACCAAGATAAGGTATTGTGAGATCTTCCTCCGAAAAGGGTTGATTATTTATTTGATCAAATATATGCATAGATGTCCGACGATCGTAGAGATCTCCCATTGGCAACGACGGCGAGACGGAAGGCCTATTAATTATAATATCATCATCAAAGTCCCTAGCTGAAACTTCTGTACTTTACCGGAGACATCTTCGGAAGCTCCTCTACTAACACCACCTTCCTCGACACCATGAACCCCGTCAAATGCCGCACAATGTCCGCCACGTCAGCCCCCTTCTGCAGCACCACGAACGCGCACGGACTCTCCCACCACCTCGCGTGCTACACCACCGTCTTCCCCACAGCCGGGTGCCCGTACAGCGCCGCCTCCACCTCCACGCTGCTCACGTTCTCCCCTCCCGATATTATCACGCCCCTGCAAATCTCCACGTACCCGTCCGAGTGGACCACCCCACATCCCTTGTGTGCAACCACCCGCCCCTCCATCGAAGGCTGCCCACGTGGCACCCTCGCCCTTCAGGTACCCTTTCACGACCCCGCTCACTCTCACC